TCAATTTCGTCGGGCGTGTAGCTCACACAGTAGGAGGGTTTAGATCTTAGGAAGGGTGGGGCTGTGAACTGCACTGAAAGGTCTTCAATATGGCTATTTCAGTTCAAAACCCCATATAAATGAAGAACACTCTCTATAAGTGATATCTGGATTGACCTTATTTTGTAACCCAGTGACCTTTACGGCCCCGTCAAGCTATCTCTTGCCAGATCACTGGTGCAGCTGGAATGGATTCCATATTAAACTGTAGCCTAATGAAGCTGCATGGATTAAAAGCAGACAGCCAAAACTTTCACGGAATGCATTCTAGTGAAATGCCAAGTCAGTGTAATACATGCTGCAAACATAACAACAAGGTGCATGGCTTTCCGCATTACGCAGTTCTCTGGCTGTCACCATGTCAGCGTCACACATAAGTTTACAGGATAAAACCTACAAATCACACCAGATGGCAAGTGATGGCATGGCCACACTGGTGTTTTCTTGAAATACAGCCTAACACTAAAATCCACTATGCACGGTATTTTATATTTACGCTGTCCCCCTGACCGTAAGTGTTTTTTTTTACTAACATATTGCACAATTATAAGAGAATGACATTTGTAACAAAGCGTAGGCAAAGTAACTACATTGCAGCAATGTTTTATTCATGCATGACAAGACATAAATTTTCCTAAAGCACCTATGCTTGGAAAAACGTACCTAGAAAATGACACCTGGCCTAAAGAAGCTGTCTGCCATATGCTTGGACTTGTGCCATCTTCACACGCACGCACGCACCCCCCCCCCCCCCCCCCGCCCCTCCACACACACACACGGCAAGGTTATCCAACCAATTGCTTCAATAATACAATACTAATTTCCTTTTTGATACTCATGCACAGAGATATTCCATTTGCACATATCACATTCAAATATTGTTTCTCAGTTTTGTTTCACATCTGCCATGTATAGCCACAACTTATCCCGCAGGCTTGGCCACACAGGGAGAAAAAAGGTTCTGTCTTGACTACACGGCACTCTGAAAATCTTTGGTTGTCCCTTGGCACAGCTCATTATCTGGGATGATTCTTTATGTTAACGGTGCGAAACATCAGTCTATTCTCCAACGTTCTGCATAATTTTCCCAGGTTATCTGCCAGCCGCAATCACTCGGCAAATGTAGGCGAGAAGTAGAGCCAACTTATTCGGCCAATGGAGACACCTGGCCTGCAGCAATGGTGCATTTGGATATTATCTTACTGCAGTTATTGCTGAGCTTTGAGGTGAAACGCACACGCACAACGCCATTGCATTGCTAGGCGTTGTTATTTAAACAACTGCGACTTAACGCACATATTTATTTTGCCTCCCGGCCGAATAAAAAATAGGCCCCCACTGCGTGACGTCACAGGTAAATCAGGTCACTACATCATGGGTCGAATTGGTTACCTCGAAGAAGCGAATGGGCTCCCATTTGCCAATGACAGGCGCAGTCCACCATTCGCAAACTAGGTACGCATTCACCTATCGTGCGCAACCTTTGCATGGCAAAGGTGCGCAACCATTACGTACTATTAGCTCCGCCATTCTTCGCCAGCCCGGATACCGAGGTGGATCAAATGCACCAACAAGCGGCCGCCGCGCGATGTCAACCTTGAAGTCAACCTAGTCATGGTCAACCAAAACCTTGAAGCCTCCGCCGGCGGCGGTGTAGAGCATATATTAGCCACACTGTGCAACAGACAAAACGCGCTGCACAGCCCTTACACACCTTTCCTAAATGACATCTCCTGCGACACTCCTGCAGGCATGTAGGCGAGGTTTAACTACTCCCGCAAGAATCAACAAACAAAAAAGTGAAAGGGAGTCCCGGAAACCCACCCTATTAGGAACCCATTGTAACAAGCCCTCAGGCGTCATAAAAGTAATCATTCGGGGGTAAAAAGTATAACACCCGGCCTGACTCTCCCGGTTTGAGAATTTCTGTAAGATTTTAATCGCTTTAAGGCATCACATTCGCTTTGGAAACCCCCTTGGGTCAAGCGATCCTTAAATGAAAATGCTTCTCACCCTTAAAAGGGTATGAAGCATTCTCATCGATCAAAAGCGTTGTAGTCTCAAAGGCATTGCGGCAGTTGGAAAACACAGATCCCACAGACTACATCACAATAGGGGCCCAAAGGCCATTAACATATCTAATCATATGAAGAAAGCCGCAGATGACTGGTCTATTACCAGCATCGATGTTGCAGTGCGTGAACGGTCTTTTTACGTCAAAACATGAGTCATAGTGAGTCATCATGAAGAGGATTGCTGCAAGATGGCAACATGGATGCGAGCCATATTGCCGCGAATCATTATCCGTCTCAGCTTTTCGAAATGTTGAAAAACGTGCCAGAGGTAATGATTAATCATTTAAGCTGGTTCTGTTTCATACGAAGCATAGACCAGGGAAATAGTTTGACTAGCCCCCGCCACCGAAGGCAGACAGCTAACATTTTAGTCAAAACGGGATCCCTACATCTGGCATATTACCAACAAAGCGGAGCAATGTTTATGTAGTATTCACAAAGTATTCACAAAGTATTCACCCACGTCGAGTTTGTGCAAAGTACTTCCGTTCAATGCTTACATAGGGGAGAGCTTATCCAACTTTCAAAGTAGTTTTACATCATCCTCTGTGCAGGAGGCGTCATCCCAATTCCACTCAGCATGAGTTATCACTGTCTTTTAAACAGAACGTGTGCCGTCACACTGTCCACTCTTGGACCACGCGTTCTGTGATGCCTCACCCCGCTCCTGATTGCCCTCTACTCACCCCACTGCTCTACACAGCATTTCACTCCGACAGTGGTTTATGACCCACTCTATCTTTTACTCCACGACCGCTACGTTCCGCTGTTCTTCCGCCACTACTCTGCCCAGCTCCGAGAGCCCTCCGTCCACCTCTCCCTCGGCTCGGAATACCCTCTGTCCATCCCTCCCTCGCTCTGAGGGCTCTCTGTCCACCTCTGCTCTACTCTGAAGCCCCTCTGTCCACCTCCCCTCGCTCTGAAGGCCCTCTGTCCATCTCTCCCTCGCGTTGAGGGCCCTCTTCCACTGCACCACTCAGACAGTGCACCTGCGCGATAGTCGAGCGCTCCGATTTGGACCAACTTTCCTGGGCGAATTCGCCCAACTTACCCCATGTTCAGGAGCGCGGATGGAAAAGTTGACCCCATCCTACCAACAGACACCAACTTTGGGACTTGTTTATTTTGTATAGAGCAAAATGTACACTTAGAGAGCAAGCATAAGTAACAGCTGGATACGTATGCCGGCCATTCGGCGGATGTGGCGACAGAGGGCGCATATCCCAGTCGACCAGGGAGGGAGGGGAGGGTCCGATGTCACAGTGACTGTGGCGCCATCTGCCACCGACACAGAGCCGCAGCAGCTCGCACTAACATGCACTCGGTGACACAGGTGACAGGCATCAGTCAGCAGAGCGGCGGCGGCGCTGTTCCAGCGGCTCTCCATGCGCAGCTGGGCTTGAAATGAAGCCGACCTTTTAACGGGCGACACTATCATTGCCAATGGGATCCTGCAGAACACATCCCGGACGGCCCGCAGAATGTACAAATATGGTTGATTCCTAAATTCACTTAAGTGACATGTTCCTTCCGCACAACGGAACATGCGCAGCGCTTTGTGGCGGGGACGGTAAGGGTGGCATTAAATATGTCGTCCACCCAAATAGAGCTGCGTCTTTTAGTAGGCTTACGTCGCCTGGTGAGCCATCTCAAGCCTTTTCACGGCGCCCCGGTACGATCCCATTAGGTTTATAGTGGGCCGACAAGCTGCAATGGCCAGCCCTCCATTCAAATGGCTATTCCGTCAGATGGCCGGCCGGGTAGCGTGTCAGTAGTGTCGGGGTGAAATGTCGGGGAACCATGTCGGGAAAACTGTGTCGGGGGTGAAATGTCGGGGAGCCATGTCGTGAGAACTGTAAGGGGTGAAGTGTCGGACAACCATTTCGGGAGATCTGCGTCGGGCAGCCGCGGCGGGGACCCTTTCGGGAGAACTGTGTCGGGCAGTCACGGCGGGGACCAGGTCGGGAGAACTGCGTCGGGCAGCCGCGGCGGGGACCATGTCGGGAGAACTGTGTCGGGCAGTCACGGCGGGGACCATGTCGGGAGAACCGCGTCGCGCAGCCGCGGCGGGGACCATGTCGAAAGAGCTGTGTCGGGTAGCCGCGTCGAGGACCATTTCGGGAGAACTGTGTCGGGCAGTCACGGCAGGGACCATATCGGGAGATCTGTGTCAGGCTGTCGTGGCGGGGACCATGTCGGGAGAGCTGTGTCAGAGAAATCATAGCGGGCAGTCATGTCGGGGAAATGCGTTGGAGAGTCATGTAGGCAACCGCGCCGTTTCGCGGCGCCGCGCCGTGTCAGCCGGGTTCAGTCAGCCGCGCCAAACGGGTCGATGTCGCTCGCAGTCACGACCGTCTATCCCCTCCCCCTCCCATCCCGACTGGAGGTGGCCCACGCCGGCTGCGCCGTCTGAGGCAGCCCGAGCAGCTGCCGAGGGCAGCGCGTGAACCCGGACCGGTGACGGATGGCGTCGACGCCAGCGCAGCGCTCAGCAAATCACCGACCGAAAAAGTCCCGTCCAACGCCCATTAGTTTTCATCATCAAGCCCACTTTGCCGATTTCTTTCATTTTCCGACTTCTCCAAGCTCTGAGATGTAATTCCACTTCCCACATCTTCTGATAAGCTTCATTTGTCTATCGATCGACGTTGGCCGTCGTGAGCTGCTGTAGTTGCCTCGTTTGAGCCCGCTTCACGCTGCCCTGCGCCCTTGACAGCGCCGGCCCCGGCCATCAGGCCGCTCCCGTACTCCAGGGTGTAACCGCGATCCACTCAGCAGGCCTGGACGGCGACCGACCACGGCAAGCGTTTGAAGAGGTGGCCGCCGGCGGACGACGGCTGTCAGCTACAGGGCAGGCCGCGCTGCCGCAGCACGCGCGCAGGGCACGACAATAAAACAGGCGCATCTAGCAAATGAAGGGCTACACCAACTGGAAATGGAATGACTTACGCGACTGCGAGTGCAACACAAATGCCTGAGGTCCTGACGCTCCGCGAGCCGCGCGCTTCCGCGCCCACGAGAGCGGACGCGTCCGGACTCCACTCCGCCTCACAGACACAGAGTATTCCTTCGGCTGATATCAAAAGAAGCCCGCCGGCCGGCCCGCTGGGCGGCCGACTGTCACCGCGAAGCGATGGCGATACGGCCAGAGTGCAGCGGCCGGGGAGCGCTCGGGCCCGGGCAGGCCATCGTCATGCAACTGACGTGGAGCCGACCGCCGGCGGCATCCGGCGTCGGGGGAGGGCGGCTGGACTGTACACCTCGGAGCCGATCGGACGCGGGCCAAACAGGTCTCCAGAGCGGCCAGTCGGCTAAAGTCGAGCTAACAACAACCTACAACCACTAGATGCTATCCGTCACCGTGACACATATAAAATAACATCTCCCTCACGCACGCGAGGAAATACTGGAGTATTTTACCTCTAGTATAGACAAGGGCAACACGAGGAGAACGCTTACCACGCGGCGGTGGCGCCGGCAGGCTGGGCTGACCATTAACAATGGGAAAGAAGGCCAGCACTGTCATGTACGCACTAGGCTAGATTCTGGAAACAGTTGCTAAGAGATGCCTTTGAGAAACCTAGAATCACAGGTCGAGCCGATAATCTCAGTGACGGCGAGTACTGGCTCGGCACGGCTGACGCTCCTGACACTCGTCCTGCCGCGGTCTGGAAGTCGAGAGCGGCGGCGCGGGCCCTCTGCGGTGTCGAGCGCAGCCTCTCACCGCGGAGGAGCGCCGCCGCAGGGGTGGCCCTCCGCGGCGCTTGGAGCCGGCGCCGCTCGGCTCAACGGCAGCGCAGTCTCGGACCTCGCGCGGCTCCGAAGCAGCGCAGTCTCGGACCTCGCGCGCACTGTCCGACCGCCGGCCGGCCTGAAACGCCGGCCGCGTCTCGCTCTCGCTCGCGCGCGCACGCTGTCCCTCTGGCTCGGACTGCTGCCGTTCGTCACCACCGCACGGCGCCCGGCGCGTCGCCGCCCGCGGCCGGGCGCGCCGCCGCGCGGTCCTCTTGGCACCTGGTCAGCGTACCGCGGTCGGGTCTACAGCGCACCGCTGTCGGGTCTACACCGCGCCGCTGCAGGGTCTACAGTGCACCGCTGCAGGGTCTACAGCGTCGAGATACGCATGTAACCGGTCACGTTGTTGTCGTCGGCAGCCGGCGGGCTGGGCTCGCCGCCGCCCAGCTGCGAGATAGTGGCCAGTGAGCCGGCGTTCTGACGTCCCTCAGCCGGCAGAGGGGCGCCCGACGGTGCGTTCAGGTGTACCCGGTGCTGCCCGGTGGGCGTGCTCTTCTCCAGGTCGCCAATCTGGATCTCGCGCAGCTCCTCTTCGTGGCCGTTCTCCACGTTATGGTAGAGGTTCTGAAACGGGAGAGCGAGTGAGAGAAGCAGGCGGTGGCATTGCGGCGGTTCTGACACGACGAGGCGGCCTCTCTGCTGGGAAACGGGGTCACAGATGTAAGGACGTGGCACCAAGAGTCCGGATCACGAGACTTAGATCGGCTAGAGAAAGAGGATTATCTTTGTTTTGTGTTTTCTTTGGGATTGGAAGGGAACTAAAACCTTAACTCCGAGCGCTATCCCTTCCCCTAAGTTACCGATCAGCCCTCTCAACCTTGACCAGGAGGCACCAATAAGTGGGGTTTTCATTTTTGGGCCAGGTTTTGAGGCCAGGCTTGTTCAAGGCGATATTGCACACTGTCAGCTCAGTAACTAAGCTTCAAAGGCAGTCTGCGAGGATAACTTTATTATGCTGCGCAGACAAAATTTGGCCATGCAATATCCCTCAGCTTCTGGGGTCCTAGTCTTTGAACACGGCCGCATGTTTGCACCCTTGCGCTACTCTCAGCTTTGCCAGATGCTGGCAGGAGAGCTGAATGCTGCCCAATCTGATAATTGATGCACCATTCGTGAATGCGTTAGAATAAATGATGCGTTCTATATATATATATATATATATATATATATATATATATATATATATATATAAACGTTAAAACGCGCCCCCCTAGGGATGTTGGCAAAAAACGCTTACATATAACGCATACATATATATATATATATATATATATATATATATATATATATATATATATATACATATATATGCATCCTTCCTTCGCTCTCTCTCTCCTCTCTCTCCCTCTCTCTCTCTCTCTCTCTCTCTCTTTCTCTCTCTTTCTTCACCTTGAAACCGCTGCTTTTATGCTTCTAGGTAATCCGCTATGATGCTATCCGCTAAAAATATTGTAACTCAATGCCACTTCCAAAAGCTCGGGGGAGCCCTTCAGTTTCATCCATCTTTCCACCACAATGATGGTTAGCTGTGGGAAACACCACGGCTAAGCAAGAGAAATCTCAAACTCTCAAACATAGATGCTATTAATCTCGCCCCAGTGGAAGTTCGGAAGTTCCATAAATTGAAACCCATAGTGAAGACTGAAACGCCATCAATCAATTTGCCATTAAAGGATTGTTCGTTTCCCTTCCTCCGTCTGCAACACAAAGGCGGCTGCTGGGCAGAGCACGGTCGTACGGCTAGCCCGCGTGCCGCCCCGCTCCCCCCCCCCCCCATGGGGCCGTCCGCTCCTGGGAGGAGCACGGTCGCACGATCAGCGGCCGCGCCGCGCTGCGCCGCTCGCCCCCCTCCCCGCCGGGGGTCGTCCGCTGCTGGGAGGAGCACGGTCGCACGGTTAGGCCCCGTCCCCCCACAGGGGCCGTCCGCTGCTGGGGGGAGCATGGTCGCACGGTTAGGCCCCGCCACCCCCTGGGGCCGTCCGCTGCTGGGCGGAGCACGGCCGCACGGATAGCCCTCGCTCTGGCCCGCTCCCGCGGCAGTCCGCTGCTGGGCGGAGCACGGCCGTGCGGTTAGCCCTCGCGCTGGCCCGCTCCCGCGGCAGTCCGCTGCTGGGCAGAGCACGGCCGTACGGTTAGCCCTCGCGCTGGCCCGCTCCCGCGGCAGTCCGCTGCCGCCTGCCTTCCAGGAACGCCGAGCGCCGATGGCACGGGGCGGAGATTAGGAAGCGCAGAGGCAGCCGCGGGGCAGGGAGACGCAGGCGCGCCTCGCGCACAGACGGATCGATATCGCTGGCCTGGAGAAAACAGACACACATAAGCTGGGAAGTTGGAAAACATCCTCGTTCCAGGTCCGTTTAGTGTCAGGCTTATTCGGTCAATGAAATGTATTAACCTCTTTTTCGGGCGTGGTTGACCAGATGTTGACCCCTGTCAGAAGAAACGGCCCTGGGTGCTTTTTAGGTTCTATTTTTGGGAAATTTGCGATGAACAGTGTGGGCAAAAATGTTGTTTGGTATTCATAATTGTGTCTCAATGTGGATATTTTGCTTAAGACTACTGATGAATTGCATCAATGAGGAGAACGGAATATTTATCGCGATGAAGGAGTGTAAAACAAGCTCTCTAGCTACGGGCAGGGTCATGCGCTCATCCAATGCGACATCATCCAACATCATTCGACGACATCCAATATCAACAGTGATCAAATGTTGACTTGAGTTAATTGGGCCAATCTAGCTACTATCCTCATTTATGAACTTACATATTTGTAAGCACTGATAACAGCTTCATGCGGCTTTCAGCAACACCTGATGGGATTTTTTAAAAAGTTGTGCCAAAATTACACTAACCATTGTATGCAGACTAGTTAACCAGGCCTGGTTTCATTGAAACACTGCAGTGCTGTGCAAATTACGTTTTCCTCCACTCCATAATTCCACAATTTCTGCACTTTTCCATTTCATCTTTCCTCCATTCCATAAAAAGCACCGGAAACCACAGATCCGTCGATTTTCAGAGTTCTTTAGTGCTGCCGTCTGAGCTTGATGCACACAGGGGAATAAGGAGCTGCAACGAATTGCAAACGTTATGTGGTGGTACCGTCTATGAATTTTTACACAGTTCAATACCTTTGATTTACGCCGACACTTCAGTAATCGATCTGAACGAGGTCAACGTCCCCTTTTGAGAAGCGATCTCAACTACAGATCACTGGAGTATGTACTGAGGGTGATGGATTCATGAAAGCTACAAATTTCAGTCCAATTTTGCCCAAATTAAAAAAAGAAACGCAAATCGGTTACAATGGATTGGTGCCGTTGGCTGGAACGGGAATGCCTGTTCGTATTCACAGTCGTTTAATTCCAAACCATGTTCTTTGGGCAATAACTTAAGGATCTGTGCCATAGTTAACCCCTACACCTGTCACGTAGGAGCTTGCTACGGTAAATCCCTACGCTACTTAAGGGAGGACATTTCATGAAACTGGTAAGACTCATTTATACGGATTTCAAAAAAAGAAAATCGTCCTCGTCAATTAGGTTTTAGCATAAGTTACTTGATGTTATTGCCACCTATGTCATCACCTCGATCGTCTCAAGGCAAATCATGTGTCTCGGTGGTCTGTTTTAATAAGCCGCTGTTTAAACCCAACAAGTGTAGAACACATAAATGTTGTCCCTTTCGAAACATGGAGGTGTCACACACTACCGCGTCGAAACACTGGTTCGTCGCAGCAACAACAGCCCTTGACATTGACATTGCGATTGGCATCGTCAGGGTCAATGACAGTCCATTTTCAATTTTAAAGCGAAAACCAACCTCTGGAAAACTTCCCGTAAGTATCGCAATATAAGCCACCGACAATATTCAGTGCATTAACTAAAATACAACTTTGAACGCCAGAAGTCCCAGGAGTTGTAAAATGGTAAGTTATATAGTTATCACCGTTTGCGCCGATAATGAATAATCACGTGGCTAAGCGTTGTACGGACATACATGCATGCATGTATGCATGCATGCATGCATAAATAAATGCACATATGTAAATATATACAGTGAGCATGACATTATAGGCGTTAAGAATGATGACTAACGGATGAGTGTGTTTCAGTAGATATGAAAAGTCAGGGAGTTTGACAATTTCCTGGGAGCATCGACCTCCTTGAGTGTTTGATGAGGTTGTACACACCCTAGGAAGCTTGCCAACTGCCTAGAGAGTTGGTGAAATTCCCAGAATATTTTGATAGGAAAACTTAATTTTCACCTGACACTCAAAAGGACATGAATAGTGCCTCCTTCAAAGAGGAGTTACAGGTGACACCTGTCTCCCGTCATACAAATTTTGTACATGCATAAGAAGACATGCGAATACGTAATCACAGCTAACAGCAGTCCTGCTTCTTCAAGCCCAGAGAGCGTGTGAGCATGCATGGTCATCATCGGTGCGCCTTATATACTAGGCGCGTTGGAAACGATTCATGGCCACAGGCTTCGGAAATTATGTGATGGTTAATCAATGAGGAATGAGTATGATGTCGTTCCATGGTTAGGTAAGCCAATAAAAAAGCAGAATATCGCCTTGCGATCCCAGAATCATCTGATGCAACTGACGGCGGGTGAGGCGATGAGGGCGACTTTTTCAAAGAAGTATCAAATCGCGTTACGGAAGCCAGGCGTGGTTCAGCTTCCGACGTAACTGATGGAATGCCGTGAGTGATAAAGCCTGAGCCTAAACGGAGACAAGCATAGTAGCTGCACATAGCGCAACCGGCCTCACAGCTGATGCAAACATGTGCCACCCGACAGAGAGTGAGTCGCTCGGTCGGCGGGCCCAGCGTATGCAGCGGGCGATTATGTGTGGTTTGTGGACGGCGACCGGTGAAAGATTATAGAGACTGTTTGAGAGTGAAAAGTTACACCACTGTTACACCATTGTTTGAGCGGACGCGAACGAATTTGGTAGTGGTCAACTTGTCGGGCCTTTCATGTTCCACCCCCTAACCATTTAATTTGAAAAATGCCAATGGGCCACCTCTGGTTTTGGAAATGCTAGAGGGACACATCACCGCAGCTGTGAACGCCCCGCGGATCTCAGCGGTTTTCCCTGACATTTGCAAGGGGTTTAAGTATGGGTAAAGGAACTGTCAGGGGCCTGCGACGGACAGGTGGAACACACTGAACGGCATGCGCTGATTCTGATTAAAGCCGAATCCAGAACCGCTTGCCAATGATTGTCAAAGAGAACGACTTTAAGGATTGGCGTTAAATGAATAGCGGGTGCTTCATCGATTTGTCAGTGATGTCTAAGATAAATGATTTGTTGTAACGTACAGTGGAATACGACCACATCACTACAGTTCGAATGTATCAGCAATGCTTGTGATCGTCACAGGTCATGATGTAGATAGCGATAAAGATGACGATATTGTTGTGGCAAAGGCCGTGAGGATCATGCGTTTCAGTAGCTGCTGACAAAATGCGCACAACGATGGGGTAACGGCTGACTACGCAGGTGCTGAACAAAGAAAAACGATACTGAGGCTAAAGTCCATCTTGTGGTATCT